ACAGACAACCTCTCGTCAATATGCGTTTTTCGCATTGCATTGCTGCAAAAAACGCATAAAAAACCCTTTTTCCTTGAAGTTTCATGAATGCGCCGAGCGAAAGCAACAGAACAAAAATGGACCTAACTGCATCAGCATACAATAACGCACTTAGTGTGCTCAAATGATGACTAGATGCAAAAACATGAACCCACACAATAAGTGATTACTTCGCCAAATTTTAGCTTTCCAAACCTCACGTTCCTGATCAAAATTTAACCGAACAGAAAGACACACGTACAAACACATCTACACATAAACTCATATATATATATATATATATATATATGTATATATAAGCACAAAGGTATATACAAGTATAAGCACGAAGGCGTGCACTTGGAATGAAATTTTCTGTTTCATGCAAAACAAGGCAAAACTGGGAGATTGCGCTTCTTCATGTTTTACACATTTAAGTTCCTGGTCTTTTCCAAAACCAAAGCCATTGAAAAAAGGGTAGAGAAGTTCAAGCACTACATATAGTGTTAAGTCCTGTTGGCCACAAAGCGAAGTATGGCTACAGGGAAGCTGCTTTTTAGCAGATATTGTGCACTCAAAACAGGGAAAGCCCGAAGAACCTCTGAATCATATCTGAGAGCAGAAGAAGCAAGATCGTGGGATATGCAAGCAAGATTCTGAAGTGGTAGTGTGAATTTCTACATGCGTGGTACTTCACGCGTGCGAGAACTGACACAACATCCAAAAATAACCAAAGTACGCACCGAGGAACGCCGGAGTACACTGATAATCGGCGCACAATACAAGTAATTTGTCAACGGCTCTGGCCTAATCAAATCTGAACCCGATGACGATGAGTTCAGTGACGAGCCACCGCTGCTACCTGAGCGCGTAATCTTCCGCTTCCGCACAGCATCATCGAGTCCCTCAACAGCCGCTTGCAAATCACCGTTTAATGTACATCCGACCAGCGGCATGCCTGAATAAAATCCCATTATTACTTTCATGCTGTTCAACAAAGCACTTAAGCGTCCAGACAGCAAAAACTGCGAGGAAAGGAGGCGCAAAGTCAGCTGAACGCGCTGTCCAGCAGACATCGTATCTTTTTTATGCGTTTTTTGCGGCTATGCAATGCAAAAACGCATACTGTCGAGGGGTTGTGTGTATGTGTGTGTGTGCGTGTGTGTGTGTGTGTGTGCGCGCCTGTAACGAGTTTTCATCTCGAGGTCCACAAAAGCTACAAGGCTGAAAATTTGGTGACTTAATCTACAGATACGTACGGGCTCGTATCCTCAAAATGGACGTTCAGGTTCACGGTTCTCATGTAGAGGCACGTGAAAGTTTTTTTTTGGCGGGAAAGCGTTTTCGGGAACGGCCCATGCTAGCAGGCTGGAACTTTACAGAGTTGTTCCTTGGCCGCGCCTAATCCGAAGATTTCAAATTCAGCCTTCACGCACCCTCAGGACTCACGTACGCACACGCTAAAGTCTAAACTGGCATCATGCCAACTCCAAATTTAAGGTGATAAGTAAGCTGCAGAGAGCTGTAATATTGCAGCGTCACTTGTTGCCAATTGCGTCCGTAAAAGTAAATTACTTGTCAGCTCTTTTGCGTCTCACGTGCGAACACGTGTACACACGCGGAATTTGACGTAACCCCGCAACCAGAACAGCTGGAGTGCTGAAACTTTCTGAGCATTACCTAGGGCCGTGTTCAAGCAACCGCGGGCGAAGAAAGCACTCACTTCACCACCCGCGTACGAACACGTGAAATTTGACGTAACTCTGCAACCAGAGCAGATTGAGTACTGAAACTTTTTGAGCACTACCTAGGGCCATCTTTAAGTAACCCAAGCGAAGAAAACACTCACGTTGCTACCCACGTACAAACACGTGGAATTTGGCGCAACTCCACAACCGAAGCACCCAGAGCGCTGAACTTTTTGGGCATGGAATAGGAGTCATTGTAATAATCTCTAACAGTCATGGTTGCCAGTCACAATTTTTTAGCTAGAAGCATCTGCTGGGAAGGGCGCGCCACTGGCGAAAAAAAACCTACGGGGGAACTGTGCAAAAAACGCATCCTCGTACCGGCAGCCGGTACGCTTCCGACTAAGTTTCTTTACAGCTTGAAAAAGCAAACGGTTACATTCTGTATCGCAGACAGTAGCAGAAAAAAAAAAAAAAAAACCGGTATCGTCCCGATTAAGGAAGCAGTTCCGGCCGAAGCTTGCTTTGCTGAAGCGCGCACTCATTTGTCTGACGACACCCAAACAGCACGCAAGCAGACTGTTTCAAACTGTGTTAGAGAGGAAGTGGAGAAGTGCTCTGCAGCCGAGAAGTGTCGGTAATTCCGAGCCTGGCAAGGAGAAAACCAGTCTGCAGTCGGATCAATGGCCTGTTATGGCAGCACACAATGAACCAGCCTGGTCCGAGCATCTTCAGAGGAGGCGCTACAGTGTCAATTTTTATGAATAACTGATCCAGACAAACAGACCTTCCGCGAACGAAGACGATGATGCGTCCGCAGCCTGCTGTCCTGTAAACGCGAAAACATCAGTCGAAGGCTGTGATACTATCCCACGTGTCGTGTGAATGTTGTCGCCGTAACAGGCCAACTGCTTGTTTCGGCTGTTGCCTCCGTGGGAAACCGAATGCCCCTTCTGGAAGCTGCTGCTGTGATAGGCCGGCTGCGCGTTTTGCGTGCTGTCTCCGTGATAGGACCATTGTCCGTTTTGGCTGTTGCTTTCGCGATACGCCGACAATCCTTGGTTGTTGCTTCCGTAATGGGCCGACTGCCCCTTTTGAGCCTTGTCACCCTGACAGACCGACTGCTCCCTTCGGACGTTGTCGCCGCAATAGCCCACTGTCCCTCCCGAGCACTGTGGCTGCGACAGCAAGGCTGTTTCGTCCGAAAGTTGCTGCCGTGCTGAGTTATACCCACCACTGACAACTCTTGTCGCAGCAAGCCGCTGTCCCCTCTGAACGTTGTTGCCAGGAGCAGCTGGAGCTGCCTGTCCCTTTTTATTGGCATTGATGCTTTTACGAGACGCCATCGAATGTGTCTGTTATCACGTACCTAAAAATACACGCAAATTTAGCTATGCAACTGATTCGAAAAATACATTTCCTGCGTTTTCACTGTGGCACTTGCAACACCTCAACCCCTATAATGGTTTGCCAGGTGCAACAAAGCGCCTACCTGATACGGCACATTCATAGTACACGCAAAATTCTCCGGATCTGACGACTTCCAAAGTAGACGTCGTTGCACGAGTGGGATCCCACTATTTACCTTACCGAATAACAAAACCGTACAGTCTGCCGTGGAGGTTTTTCCGTAAAGCCTCTGCGCAGGCCTCCGAACCGATCAAACGACATCTCCACCGTCTACAGTATTTTCTGAAAATGGATGAAGACGAGAACGAAGACGCCAGCTCACTACCATAAGACAGCAAATTTCGACTCCGTCAATAGGACAGCCAATCCCTTCAGTATCCAAAGACTTGTTTGGACAAAGAAATTTAAACAGGCGAAACAGACATCAGTTGGCTCCTAAGCAACAATCAAAAGAGAAAGCCACTGCTAGCCAGTAGTTGTTGCTGACACGTTCAAGCTACCTCCCAGCTTCGTCGCCTCTCACACAGAGCGAGCAGAGAAGGGACCTTGACTTTGACAGCAAAAACAGTTCATATCCCAAGACTTATTTCATACAAAATTCAACAATGCTTGCATTATCACAGCCAGTGAGGTTAAAACAGTCAGGCACGAGAAAAGTAAATACCGGTTGTCACGGTAGATTTTTTTGTGCCTGCACCGATTTGGCTCAAATTTTGCTAAGCACAATTTAGGGTTCATACAAATCATGTGCTTGGCCAACGCACGGGCTGCCGGTGCGAAGATGCAATTTTTGCATAGTTGCCCGCAGATTTTTGTCGCTAACGGCACTGTTTTTTCCGGCAGATGCTTCTAGCTAAAAAAATTTCAGACTGGTCACCAGGGCTGTCAGGAAACATTCCTCCAAAATTTCAGTCTTCTTGCTTCTCAGATTCCGGAGTTAGCAATTTACACGAAAAGATCTTTCACGGACCCATACGTGGGAATGACTCATACCCGGGGACTAGGTCTGAGCTCATTATTACCTACGTGAATGGGGAACATTACCTTAAACTTCCAGTTTTCTAGCTTCTCAGGGTCCCATGCTATCAACCTGCCCGAAGAAAAATTTGGCGGCCCGTACGTGAGTACCACGCATACCCGGTGTCTGGGTTTGAGCTCAATGAGATTTAGATGGACGGGGAATATCCTTTTAAAATTAAAGTCTTCTAGCTTTTCAAATCCTCGAGTTAGCGACTTACCCGAAAAAAACTTTGGCGGGCCCGTACGTGGGTACCACGCATACCCGAGGGCTGGGTTTGAGCTCAATGAAACATAGGTGGACAGGGAACGTCCACTTAAAACCACAGTCTTTTAGCTTTCCATATCCTCGAGTTAGCGACTTACCCTGAAAAAATTTTGGCGGATTCGTATGTGGGTACCATGCATACTCAGAATCTCGGTTTGAGCTCAATAAGACTTAGGTGGACGGAGAATGTCCCCTTAAAATTACAGTCTCGAATTAGCAACTTACCCGAAAAAAACTTTCACGGGCCCGCACGTGGGTACCACACCCGCAAAAGCACCCATTTTGAGGATTGGGGCCCGTATGCGCGTGCAGATCAAGTTCCCAAAGTTTCAGCCCCGTAGCTTTTGTAGGTCTTGAGATGAAAAACCGTGACAGACACACACACACACACGGATACACCGACACACACACAGAGACAATCATTCGTCAATATGCTTTTTCTGCATTGCGTAGCTGCAAAAAACGCATAAAAATTGATCTTCACGTCACTTTAGAAACTTTTTCCGACGATCTCGAGGGCACTTTCTTGGCTAAAGACCATCGAACGAGTCTCGCGAAAGGTACTGACAGGAAGCTCAAAGCTGTCTTCTGAAATAAAGCCACTCCACAGAAGTTATTCCAGTACCTTTGAGGCCAGACACAACAATTTAAGACACAAATCCATGCACCAAACTCGAATCCCGCAAAATTCACTTGCTAACCCCTCCCGCCCCTGCCCCCGTACATCCAAAATTGGCGTCAACAAACACAACTCAATCGTCACGTATATCCGCGCCAGTGCTGTTTACCCGGCAATGGAAGAAATAGTAGAACAGCCAACGTTCGATCTGCAAGCGGCAGCAAGGACGGAACAGTGGGATGTCTCGAAGCAAAACATCTGCAGGGGAAAGGTATGCGAACACGATCGGACATCTCAAAGCAAATACATCGCCATCTTTTGCTCTCTCCGTCTGTTTGATACAGACGGCAGCAGCATACCGGGGATTTCAGTTTTCCATCCAGTCCCTGCCCTTCCCCATCCAAAACAAAAATCTTTGCCAAAAACAGATCAGTGACCAATGACGACCGGAAAGACCAGCTATCTTGGTGAAAATTGCCTTCAAAACTCCCTAAGTAGCCATACACTTCTATTTCGACACCTATTTATGCAAAACCGTAACAGGGATCACGTAGCTGCTAACGATCCAAAACTCCAACAACTTATGACATTTGGAGTTCGGAAGACGGCTGAATCGAGACCACAGATTTCTTAAGCACAATCCTACAACACAGGCACCATAATCTGAATTGACTGTCTGCCGCACCGTTCAACCTGCAGACGGCTGAAGGCCATCAAAAACAAAAAATTGATCCCACAGCCTCAGCGAACTGTGAAACTGGGCTAGGTGACGTGCCAAAACAGGATCTGTAATACACCTCAAATCCACTGCAGGCAGCAAAATTCTGCTTCGCAGAAAGCTCAAGCGTAAGAAAACATTTGCCTCAATTTCAAATAAATAAATTTAAGTTAGTGTGTCCAGCCCTAAAAGAAAAACCGCTCACCAAAGGGAAGCAGCAAAGCCAACACATCGTCTGTGTTTCACTTTCCGCTGGCGATAGCAAAGCATCAAGAATTAGCCCAAGCGATTAGCAAAGCTGTCATCAGCAACGATCCGTAGGGGGCGGCCATCGGTGGCTCCACATTTCGAGTGTTGCTTAAGCCAGGCTAGTCGCGCTTATAACTCCCTGGCATGTAGCAGAGAGACCGGACAGTTATGCCAGGCCCTAGATCCGCAGCTGCACGCCGCCAGTAAGTATCGCATCTTCGATGCCCGCCAATTCCTGCGGCCGACCGAACAGCCACATATTTACCAGCGGACAACATTCATGCAACGCCCACCGGTTAACAGCAAGGCGACCCGCAATCCCTCCATACTTGACCTTGCCCTCCCGTGTGACTGCAGTGGTATCATGCGTGCCGTATATCTGAAGGAAAATTTGACTGGTCACAAGACCACGAAGACACAACTCACTTATTCATCATTTCATTGATTCTTCCGTCACAACCAGCACTCGCTCTTCTAGTTTCGTCAGTTTTACACCCGTAAGCTACTGTTTTCGACGCAGTGGTATTGAAAGGGAGTGCGCAGTCCTTTCGTTCTGACGCTTCCAAGACGTCGGAGATACTGTGAAATTCGTGCCAACTGACGGCCCCTCTGCAGAAAAGTTCTGGCAGAAGATTCAAGGCCGTGCCTCACTCCACTCTCGATCAACATATGGACTGGTGTGGGAAAGTGTTACATCCGTCAAACAATCTATATTCCTTAACTATTATCAAATAGTTTCCTTTATTGACAAGAGTTCGCAAAACAGCAGCTTTACGCTACTTAGAGTAATACAATAAGTGACAAGTGGGAAACAAATAGGGAGGTGATATTCCCCTGCGCACTTTAGCAGGAGTCCAAGACGAAAATGTGGTCAACTGTACTAAATTTAATTGAGAATCCAGCTCGCTACCTTATTTGTTACTCAATGAGGAGCCTTGTTGGTCGGTTAGTAATGAGTATCATTACTTCTAAAAATGAGCAAATAATAGTTCTTCGGATCTTTTTTATTGCCCTTTTTTTGGCAAAGCAAAACAGTTTTTGTCTCTAACTGCTCGGTGTCCCTCTTTCAGCCATGTGCCAAATGAATCGAATGGGGAGAGCTTTCCAAATTTCGTGCCTCGGTCTAATGCAATGCTTTCACTGCTAGAAACCTCCCCACTTTTCACTTGAACAGCTGCACTGAATAGTAGAGGAGGAAATGCTCCTTGGTGGAGCGAATTACAGGTGCTGGAATACGCAGGTGATGCGAACAGACTTGTACAACATTCCTCCGAATATCCTTCCTGTTTATCCGACGTCTACTTTCATCCCTCATCCCCGCTGTGAGGTGGTATAGCGGCAATTCTCTACTGCACTTTTCAGGCCCTGTTTTTTTTAAACCACACTACTTCCCGCCTATACCTTCCATCTGATTTTCCATCTCATATTCCCCTAAAAGTCAGAAAGTCTAGTTTTATCCCTTTTTATGCGTCTTTTGTATCTATGCAATGCAAAAACGTATGCTGTCGAGGGGTTGTCTGTGTGTTCCTCTGTACCAATTTTTCACCTCGAGGCCTACAAAGGCTATGGAGCTGAAACTTCGGGAACTTAATCCACATGCACATACGAGCCCCCATCCCAAAATGAGTGCTTCCACATGCGGTCACGCGTACGAACCCGCCAAAGTTTTTGGCGGGTTCGTACGCGGGACCGCATGTGGAAGCACCCATTTTGGGATGGGGGCTCGTATATGCTAACTCGGGAACCAGAAAAGCTAGAAAGGTGGAGTTCTGAGGAGATGTTCCTCGCCTGTGCATAATCTAACGACTTCAGACCCAGGTGTGCGGTTCTGCCCGTGAAAATTCTTTGCAAGTAAATTGCTAACTTGGAAGCCAGAAGAGCTGGAAAGCTGAAACTTCAAGGGGATGTTTTCAGACAGTCCTGGTGGCCAGTCTCAATTCTCTTAGCTAGAAGGATCTGCCAAAAAAACCGATCCCGTTAGCGACAAAAGCCTGCGGGGAACTATGCAAAAAATGCATCTTCGCACCAGGAGCCGGTACGCTGGCCAATTATCATGTTTCTTACC